GGTTGTAACTGAGAACAAAACCTATCATAGGCATTACTGGTGGAATAATTGTTATTTATGCAGGGTATTACCACAACATTATTCAACCATAAATTCCTTTACTAAATTCAAAGGCTCAATAGTATTTATACAGTTACCCTCCTCATGTATCAAAACCCTAAAAAATAAGCAATTTGCTACATCCAAATAGTAAACAAACAATTTATAAGCATTCTTATATTCTTGCCTGAAAGTTAAGGGACTATGGATTGGATAAATGGACGGTAAGATGGATAGAAAGCTGGCTAGACTGTCAGGCCCAACGAGTAGTGATCAATGGCTCAATGTCTGGTTGGCGGTCGGTTTAAAGTGGAGTTCCCCAAGGATTGGTTCCAGGACTGATTTTATTCAACATATTCATTAATGACCTGTATGTGCGGATGGATTGCACCCTCAGCAAGTTTGCGGATGACACTAAGCTAGGGGGAGAGAGAGATACATTGGAGGGCAGGGATAAGGTTCAGAGTGACCTAAACAGGTTAGAAGATTGAGCCAAAAGAAATCTGATGAGGTTCAACAAGGACAAGTGGGCTGTGTCTAGACTGGCATGATTTTTCAGAAATGCTTTTAACGGAAAAGATCGTCTAGATTGGCGCGGAGTTCACGTTATAACGATGCACTTTTGCAGAAAAGCGTGTCTACATTGGTAGCGCTTCTTTTCTGCAAAAGAAGCCCGGAAGCATTTTGCGTAGGGCACAAGGGCACCAGCCCTTTCCGGGGGTGGGGGCTGGAGCTCCTTTCAAACATGTGCTTAAAGGAGTCTCGCCGGACAGCTGTTTGTCTCTGCTCCAAGCTATAGGACCTCTTGCAGGGACTGACAGCCATAGCAGGTTTGGTGGTTGCCCTCTGACTTTTGGCCACCTGCTTTTGCCAGGTTTTTTTTTTTCCTTACCTTGTTTCTTGTGCCATGGAACCAGGGGTGGCCATGTGCCTGCTCTGGCCCCTGTTGGACATTTTCGAGTGCCTGCAGCTGCTGCTCCAGGTTGGTGCCCTCCTCTTCCAGGACCAGGAGGGACAGATCGCTTTGGACTCCCTCACCTGTGAGGCCATGACGTCCCTGTGGCACCCCCACCCCAGGGTGCAGAGGCCACTGTGGAGACTGGACACCAGTACGGACTGGTGGGACTGGCTGGTCCTTGGGCAATGGGACGACCAGCAATGGCTCCAGAACTTCCGCATGCAAAAGCGGACATTCATGGAGCTGTGTGCCTGGCTCACCCCTGCGCTCCAGAGAGTCACCACCCGGCTGCGGGCACCCATCACCGTCAAGAAGAGGGTCGCCATCGCAGTCTGGAAGCTGGCCACCCTGGACAGCTACCGATCGGTGGCACACCAATTCAAGTTGGGCAGATCCGCCGTTGTGATGGAGGTAAGTTCCAGGGGGAGTGGGTAGGGGGAGGGAGCTGTACTCCATGCCCAGGGACAGACAAGACTCCACGCTGGGTCACCCAGGGGTCCGGGCCATCCCTCCCTTGCACAGGCCTGCTGGGGGGGAGTGTAGGGCGAGGGGGCTATGGTGCGTGTGTGCGTGAGGACAGAGGGAATCACGGGGAGGCGGCCAAGGGAGTGCACACCCACCCCTGCTTTATGATGTGTTCCCCTGTGTTTCTCTGCACCCTTCTGCAGGTCGTCCATGCCATCAACAACGTCCTGCTCCCCAGAGTGATCCACCTGCGGGACCTGGACGCTACCGTCGCTGGCTTCGCTGCCCTCAGGTTCCCCAACTGCGGGGGAGCCCTGGATGCAACCCACATCCCCGTCCGGGCCCCGAAGCATTGAGTGGCCCATTTCATGAACAGAAAGGGGTACTGCTCCATTGTTCTGCAGGCCCTCATGGACCACCGGGGCCGCTTTCTGGATGTTTATGCGGGCTGGTCCGGCAGGGCACACAACGCCTGCATCCTCCACAACTCCAGACTGTTTCGCAGGCTGGAGGCAGGCACCTACTTCCCCCAGCGGGAGTTGACTGCCTATGCCCATCTGCATCATCGGGGATGTGGCCTACTCCCTGCTGCCCTGGCTAATGCGGCCCTACATGGAGCGGCCGGACCAGAACCGGGCCTGGTTCAATGACCGCCTCAACCAGGCCCGCAATCAAGTGGAGCTCGCCTTTGGCCGATTAAAAGCCTGCTTCCAGTGTTTGCTCACCCGTCTCAAGATGGGTGAACGGAATGCAACGGAGGCAGTGGCCGTGTGCTGCGTGCTCCACAACATTGTGGAGCGGAGCGGGGAGGCCTTCCTTCCCGCATGGATGGCAGCGGAAGGCCAGGCCTACGAACAGCTGCCAGGCGCACCAGGATGGGGTGCGCATCCAGGAGGCCCTCACAGACATGTTTTCACAGACCCCAGAGTAGGGTCGCCTCAGTTTCCCTGGACAACTCCCTCCTCTCCCCTTACCTCCCAATACACAACAACACAGTTTGGGGGAGGGTGATGTTGTGCAGAATGTTCATGCTTGTTATATGAAATATGAATGAGCAGTCTAGTTCAGAGCAGAGTACTCTTGTCTGTTAAGGGTTTGGTCAGGTCAAGCGGAAGGCTTGTACCTACCAATTAGGACTAGGTTTAGATTTAGGTTTAGTTAGATTAGCTATCGTCATCGGTTCAAAGCATTTCAGCCGTCATCGAGTTTGTTCGTCGGGCGTGTCGGCCGTAGCTAGGGTTTTCTTTTAGTTCAGGGTTAGGTTTAGGGATATTCTAGGCCACCATTGTCTGTTCGAGCTGTCCCGAAGAACAGGAAGAGGATTTGAGGTTCGTGTGGAAGGCTCGAGTCAGCACACCCGATTCCAGTCGTCTTCAAGGGATCTCCTGGCAGTTTCTCTCCTGAGGCCCAGAAGGACCTAAGGATCGAGGTTGCCAGTGTCATCGCAAACCCCTTCCGTGCCTAGACTGTGCTTAATGTATCTTGTGTTGTGTTTACTCTTTTGTAATCTATCCTTTGCTTGATTGTGATTTTATGCATGTCAAATATAGTCCTGTGGTTAAATTTTATCTTCAGAGTTGGTATTCATTTATGCATCACAAACTCATAACCCTTTAAAATTATTTCCCTTTTTTTTATTAAGAAAACCAGTGATAGATATGGAATTTGGAGTCCGCAGTTGTCATCTTCATGATTTTATTAGGTTGATCGGTATTCTAAATTAATTATTCACGTAACCTCTCGTAACAGGGAGGAGACCTTGAACTGGGAGGGGGAGGGGAGCTACTCCTGGGAAGGGTGCCCCTGCGACCGCTCCTGCGGGGGCAGACCTGGACATGGGGGGCAGGCCGCACTGGGGCAGGCTCAACGGGGAGGTGGGCAGGAAGAGCAGGAGGGGCCATTGCAGGAGGGGGTGGGGGCAGGTGCACCATGATGGGGTGTGCATCCAGGAGGCCCTCACAGACATGTTCTCACAGGCCCCGGAGTAGGGTCGCCTCAGTTTCCCTGGACAACTCCCTCCCTTTAATTCCCAATACACAACAACACAGTTTGGTTTCACCAAAAAGCTTGTTGGTTTTTATTTACAAAGGGGGGAGAGGGGGAGGTGACCTTCGACTGGGAGGGGTGGCCCCTGCGACCACTCCTACGGGGGTGGACCTGGACATGGGGGGCAGGCCACATCAGGGCAGGCTGAACGGGGAGGTGGGCAGCAGGAGCAGGAGGGGGCGGGAGAACTGCCAGGGGAGGGATGGTGGGGGCATGGGGCAAGGCCATGCCATAATGGATGGCATGGGCAATGTGTGCGGAGAGGTTGGCAACGGAGTTTGCCATCAGCGCACAGTGTCCCTGGGGTTCTGAACGCAAGTGTCCACACTGGCTTTGTAGCCAAGAAGGCTCATTGCATATGGGAGTGGATTAGTAGAAGCATTGCCAGCAAATCTAGGGAAGTGATTATTCCCTTCTATTTGAAACTCATAATGCCACATCTGAAGTAGTACATCCAATTCATGCCTTCATGCCTCCAGCTCCCATCCAGAACACGCCATATGATCCATCATCTATAGCCAAGCCCTTCGATACAATCGCATCTGCTCTAATCCCACTGACAGAGACCAGAAACTTCAGGATCTCTGCCAAGCATTATAAACCTCAACTACGCACCCGGAGAAATAAAAAAACAAATTGAGAGAGCCAGATGAGTACCCAGAAACCATCTACTTCAAGATAGACCCAAGAAAACCAACAATAGAACACCACTTGTCATCACCTATAGCCCCTAACTTAAACCCTTCCAACACATTATCAATATACTAAACTCCTTGGTCTCCAAGGAACTGGTCTGTGACTGTTTCTCAGACATGGAACTTGTCTTAGTAATACCATAAAGAGGAATCTTTTAACTTTACATACAAGGTTACTGCAAGTATTTTATTAGGGCAAATTATGAATTTTCAAATGATACTGCACAAGGAATATTTTGTATAACATTTACCATATTCCAGTAAAGGAGTGAACATAGGCATACAGACTGTCACAGGATCCCAGTGCCTGTGAGGAAAAAAGCCTCCAGGTTCTGTAAGAGAACCTGAGATATTTTGGAGTCCCTGGCGCTTTTATGAATGGGTGAACATCAGGGCGACAAATTACACATCCTATGGCTACGTCTAGATTGCATCCCTTTTTCATAAAAGGGATGCAAATTAGAGGTATCGCAATTGCTAATGAAGCGGGAATTTAAATCTCCCCTGCTTCATTAGCATAAAAATGGCTGCCACTTTTTTTCGGCATGGACCTTTGCCGGAAAAAAAGCACCAGTCAAGACGCGGATCTTTCGGAAAATAAAGCCTTTTCTGAAAGATTCCTTATTTTAAGAGGGATAAGGGATCTTTTGGAAAAGACTTTATTTTCCGAAAGATCCACGTCTAGATTGGCGCTTTTTTCTGGCAAAGCTCCGAGCCGTAAAAAAGCAGCAGACATTTTTATGCTAATGAATCAGGGGGGATTACATCTAATTTGCATCCCTTTTACGAAAAAGGGATGCAATTTAGACGTAGCCTATGAGTCTAAGAAAGTAAGTTTAAAAAAAATTAAATAAGAAATCTTAGATTCTGTAGAATTTGAGTATGTGATGCAACAACAAAAATACATATGGGCCAGATGTCTGCAACTGTGCTTTAAAAGGAAATCAATTCTCATTTAACTCCACTTACATCATTAAGGTTCCATTCAGAGAGTCGAAAACTTTCTCAAAATTAGTTAATCTTCTATAAACCTTGAATTTCAGACACTATTTATCAGTGAGAGAAGAGATAATATGTAGCAATGCTTAATAGCAGAATGAGTCCAACCTCCCAGTGCATCACAAAAATATGCCACATAAATTCTGCAATCTCACTCAATACTCTAGAGATGAGAGTATGGCGCTGAGATACAAGCAATGCAAGGATGTTTTGCTTCGCTGGGTTCCGACTGCTGAATGCAATTGACAAACCAGGTTTTATCTCCTGCAAAATTTCCAACTCCTTGACTGTTCTTTCATCCATCTGGTTTTCAGACAAGCTGTGAAAACAAAAATGAACTATGAACAAAAAACCATCCACTGGAAGTCAAACATGTAAATATTTAATTGACAATATAGTTCAATGAATCTTAATAAATAGGGTGACCATAGTTCTCAAAGGCCCCACTAACAATTGTTTAGAAAAAGCTCCCATTTGCACCTCTGGGGATGTCCATCACCATTCGTGGAGCACCCACAGGGACATTACCCGAAGAAGAACAGAAGAGTTTATTGGGGACTGCAGCTGGGAGCATGATAGGGGGTGATGTCTCTAGTCCTGAGTCCAGATATGAGCCCTGGAGAGTAGCTCAGATTGGGAGGCAGACAAGGAAGCAAAGGAGGCCCCTGAAGCAGCTCATGATGCGGCCAGAAGTGACAAGAGCAGGAACAAGGGGATCCAGCAGCAGTACTGGCAGAGATGGAGAGTTGGAGTGCAGAGCGCAGCAGCAGACACAAGTCAAAGAAAGTAACTTACATTTCTTACAGATACTGTCCTATCACAACCCAGGCCTCCTTGAAGGTGCCTTTGGGTGGGTGGAGTCAGTGATACAATAGTACCTGTAAGAAATTTAGGTTTGGGATGAAGTGCAGGGGCCTTCAGGCAGAAGGCTGAAGTGTGTGTATGGGAGGTGCAGTGGAGGGGCAGGATTCAGGGCTGGGGCCATTGCAGATGTGGGGAGCTCCCGCAGCCAGCCCCTCTAATGTGTTTGCCTGCCTTCTTCTAACACAGCAGTCTGCAGGAAGCTGGGAGCCAAACTAGGAGCACCCTGTCCCACCTTCTGCAGCCAAGTGCCCCAGCTGGACAGCTACTTTTTGGAGCATTGGACTCTATTAACTGTTGTTCAAAACAATTGGGGAGACACTGGCCCCCCAGAAAGTCTTACACTTTGTGAGAACATGCACACTGGGGATAATTCTCCCTGTGTTTACAGTCCCTTAGCTACATATATGGCAGCAATAAATATGGAAGCAACAACCTCTTAGCTGGCAGAGGGAAATTCTCCTGCTGCTAGCATTGCACCAGACACAGGCTGCTTTGTGCAGAACCCTGGGGTAGGAGGTGAAAGGCGAAAGGTTGCCTTATACTACCATTTATTTGAGGCCCTAATCAGTCTGGGTTCAGAATGGTGGCTTAAAGCCTCTTTGACCTGCCCCGTTGGGTTGCCCTTGTGTGTGCAGTGCCTCCTATAGCTATGGAACACACTCCCGCCCTCAGCCCATTGGTTCATGCAGCCCAGACACAGCTAGGTGGCCGAAAGCCTGGCACACACTGCGACGGATTCCTTGGATTAGCTATGGAACACACTCCCGCCCTCAGCCCAGACACAGCCAGGTGGCCGGAAGCCGGCACACACTGCGACGGATTCCTTGGATACAGAAAAGCAGCAGTCACTTACTCCAGCTTCTCTAACTTGCACTTTGGGTGTCTGAGTCCTTCACACAGAAGCTTCACTCCTGAGCCAGTCAGGTTATTACCGCTCAGGTTCAGCTCTCGCAGGGACTGGTTGGAGTTGAGCAGAGAGGAGAGATCTCCACAGCAGGCATCAGTGAGACGGCAATCCCAAACCCTGCAGAGACGGAGATGGGCAGAGTGAACACGCAGCAGGGTGACCACATGTATGGATTTGATAAGGACAGTCCTGATTTCTGAGGCTTTGTCTTCCAGAGCATGGATTTTCATCTGGCTGTTACCATAAGATTGAACATACAAAACCCATATTTGCCTGCCCCAAAGCCTGTGCATACAAATTAGTAACTGTACATCCACTTGCTCCTGCAAATGTAGGTGATTTCACAAGTGAAAATAGGACCTCTATTATCAGTGTGAAATTAGCGGGCCCCTTTGAAAAAGCTGGTTTAACAAGGGAAGTCTCCAGCAGTGACTTACACTAGTTTCTGCAGTTTACATGTGGGATGTTTCAGTCCTTCACACAGAAGTTTGATTCCTGAATCTCCCAGTTCATTCCCACTCAGCTCCAGCTCCGTCAGGGACTGGTTTGTCCTGAGGGCAGCAGAGAGATCCTCACAGCAAGCAGCTGTGAAACTGCACTGCCACAACCTGCAAAGGGAAGAGAGAGAAGAATAACCATCTCCTTCCAGAAAGGTGTCAGTATTCACTTTGTGCCGTGACACTTCCTACTTTCTGATAAACTTGGTAGTATCAAGCTACATCTACACTATAGAGTTTTATGGTATCCCGGAAAAACTCCGTCGTGTCCAGGGAATGCATCTGCTCTTCCAAAATTTTATTTGGAAGGGCAGACATGCTCTTTCAGAAGCCCTGTAAACCTCAGTTTATAAGGAAGAAGGGCTCTTCTGAAAGAGGAGGTTTTTCCGATATTTGGCCCAATGTATACAGGCCAAATTTCGGAAAAGCCTCTTCCGAAAAAAGAATCAGAAAAGTTATGCAAATTGTGGAGTGCAATTTGCATACCTTTTTCAGAAAAAGAAGTATAAAGCCTCTATGTCTGTCATGAAATTAATTTTAATTACTACATATAATTAGGTAATGAGTTCCTAATTCAGATTTTATTTGAACACAAGTCTAGAAACATTTCAGAATATTTCACATATAGGTGTGTCTAGACTACAGGGGTTTGTCGACAAAAGTGGACTTTTGTCAACAAAACTATACCTGCGTCTACACTACTGCTGAGTTCTGTCGACATTATGTCGACAGAACTCTGCAGTTTTGTTGACGGCAGTAAACCTCATTCCACGAGGAATAACGCCTTTTGTTTACAGAGTTCTGTTGACAGAAGGTGTTATTGCATCTACACTGTCCTTTGCATCTACACTCTCATGTCGACAAAGCGGCTTGCTTTGTCGACAGAACTGGATATAGTCTAGATGCTCTTTATAGACAAAGCCTCTGTCGACAAAAGCCTGTAGTCTAGATTTACCCACAGTGTCCTACAAAAATACAGAAATCTCATAATCATCTGATAATCTGACATTCACATTCTGAGCATATCCTCTCACCTGCCCAGCGGTGACTGGCTGCTCTAGTCATTGAATGTCGAATTAGGCATGGCTTGTGGAGAGCTCTCTCTTTTGACCTTGCACAGGACAGAAGAATGTGAGGAAGAGCAGAAGGACTATGGGCTGATCTACACTAAAGCTATAAGTTGGCCTAAGTTATGCTATTTCAGTTACAGCACTGAATTCGAGGTAATTTAGGTTGACACGTAGGCAGTGTCTATATCATGCTATGTCAAAGGAGTCACTGTCGCACTGACTTACCTTCTGCCTTTCAGGACGTTGATGGGAGAGCATTCTGCTATCAATTTAGTTTGCCTTCACCAGAGCTGCTAAACTGACACCGCTGCATTGATCACAGCAGTGCCAATTCAGGTGGAAGTACAAATCAGCCCAAAATCTCCTATGGAAAGGCAGTTTTAGGCTATTCAACCTCTGCCACAAGAAAACACATGGAATAAAGGCACCTTAATGCTTTCCATGATACAAAGCAAAAATATACTGGGGATTTCAACTTGTGATCAAATTCTAAACATCTGTCTGTCAGAGACGTGCTCAAGATATGGTCTGTGAGCTTCATTCAAAGGGTCTGTATATAGTTCCCTCTATGGTATATGCCTAGGCTGCTGCACATGAGAGAATGAAGGGATGACCATCTAATTAGTGAAACTGCGCAGATGTGGCTCCACTAATTTGGTCCTTAACCCTGGAGAATATGCACATGTAAGGTGAGGTGGTTACCTGAGAGGTAGCTGGGAGTGAGCAGTAGGGTGAGGTGGGTGGGAAGACATTCAGAGGGAATTTGTGAAGGGAATTGAGGGAATTTGTGAAGGGCTGCAGCACCCAGAGGCAACTTTTCCCAGGTCTAGGAGAGACAGCCCTCCTTCCCAGCCTCAGCTCCCTGGCTGCTATGGGTGGGGTTGGGGGAAGAGACATCTTATTTTTAAATGAAAACATTTTCACTCAACTTTAAATAAAATGACAAGAACAAAGCCATTGAATTTTGCCAGGGCACATTGGTTTGGGGAAGGAAAGAAATATGACAAAGGTCGGGGGAGAAGTAGGATAAGAAATGGGATAGATTGAAGGAATGGGACAGAACAGCAGTGTTGATCTATTTGCAGTTTTTGTCCTGTTCTAATCACCGAGGGGTGGTGGTGAGTTTTTACCAGAATTATTACCCTGGTACAGATTGAACCTCTCTAGACCTGACCGTTGCCAAACCAGAGAATTTGCTGGACCACGGGAGGTCACTATTGTCTAGCAGCATCACCAAGCCTTCCACTGCTTTCTGGGCCATTAGAAGACATTTTGAGGTAAATTAGAGTTTAACAACAGCACAGAACACTGAGCGCAAGGACTGGTGGCTGTAAGCAAACTTTATGGGACCGGATGGGAGGGGGGAAACTTGCCACACCCATGATAAGTGGGCAATCAGGTAACTAAAATCATGCTGAACCAGAGAATGCCAGTCTAGAGAGGTTCAACCTGAACAATGCCTAGTGTGAACATAGTTATGTTGGCATGAAGGTGCTGTATAACAGGGTATTTGGTTTCCTTCTCATATAGGAGTAAGTTATCAAGAGCTTTTATACCTGCATCCACACGAGGGGAATGTGTCTGTCTTGGTAAAGTGGAGAGTGAGCTGGGGACTGCTGAGGAGAGAGAAGAGGCAGGAAACACTGGGTTTTAAGGAAGGGTTAAAAGATGCCTGAGATTGTGGTTATGGGATTCAGTGAGGCTATGTCTAGACTGCAAGCCTCTTTCGAAAAAGCCTCTTTGGAAAAAGAGCATCTAGACTACAATCAGTACTTTCGAAAAAACAAGCTGCTTTTTCGAAAGAGAGCACCCATGCAGTCTCTTTCGAAAAAGTATAGTTTGAATTACATAGCGCTTTTTTTGAAAGTGCTCTTTCATAAAACGAGGTTTTCCACGGTCAAAAAAACTGCCTCATTCTTTCGATTTACTTTCGAAGGAATGCAGCAGCAGTCTAGATGCAGGTGAAGTTTTTTTGAAAAAGGCCACTTTTTCCGAAAAAACCCTGTAGTCTAGACACACCCTGAGAATGGGAAAGTCGAGCTGCTTGGCTAACACAGTGGCAGAACTGAAGGAAGTCAAAAGTGACAGAACTCCCAATGCTGATGCTCAGTGAATCCATCAACACTACTTCTTGCGTTGTGTAGATTGACACAGAAGACTCCTGCTTCCTTTACCAGACTGGATGGATGGATCTCAGTACATGGTGGTATTTATTACCTATTAATAAATATTTGCATTGTAGTGACATCTAGAGGCTTCCCCAGGTACTTCAGTGTCCCAGGAGCTCTATAAAAATATGACAGTCTCTGCCTCAAAGAGCTAACAGGATGAAAGATGGAACATAGCAGGTGGGTGAGACAATACACACAGGTTAGTAAAAAGTCACAGTAACAAATACTTACACCAGTGCCTGCAGCTTGCAGCCTGGCTGTTTCAGTCCCTCACACAGATGTTTCATTCCTAGGTCTCCCAGCGCATTAGCGCTCAGGTCCAGCTTTTCCAGGGCCTGGTTTGTAAAGAGGGTCTGAGGGGAGAGGTCCTTAGGGAAAGCGGATGAGAGTTTGCAGCTGGACAACCTGAAGGGAAGAAGTGGACAGGTCAAAGTTAGTTCTGCACTGTATGAAATGGCCACTAATCATGAGTGAACCCCCCCCTTGCCACTTCCAAAGCCTGATCCTACTCCATCCCTACTGGAGCCAGAGTAGCCCCAAGCTCCCCATTGTTACTTGATTCTCTCCCAGTCTCCTATTGCAGCCAAATCCCCCACACATGCCAGGACCTGAGCCACTGGTCATCCTGGGTCCAGTGTTGCAGGTCACTGGCTTAAGCTGAGCACCAACTGGCTTTGTGGGGAGAGGTGAATTGGGGCGGGGCTTTAGGACAGAGTGTGGGCGGAGCCACAGCCTGGGTTTCCCTGGCCGATTAGTTATACCTGTTGTCCATGTTACTAACTGTTCTGTAACTGTTGTTCTTCGAGACGTATTGCCCATGTCCTTCCAACTTTAGAGACATTGGCATGCCCTGGGCACTGTTGTCAGAGATCTTTTCATCAGCCAGGACAGCAGATGTGTCCCTCACTGGCAGACGCTGCCACGTGATGGCACAGAAGCTAGAGCTGCTCCCGACCCTTCTCAGTTCCTTCTTACCGGAAAGATTCGTTACGGAGCATGAGATGTGGAATGGACACGTGCTGCACATCTCAAAGAGCAAGAGTACAGAACAGGTTAGTAATTCTCTCTTCTTCTTAACCAAAGTAGAAACCTAAAGTGAAAGGCACGTTGCTGTCACTTGAAGAAGAATCACTTAGTGACTCGTTCCAACTGGAGACTTTCACTGAGTTTTAGGCCAGAAGGAAACACTTGATCACATGGTCTGATGTACTACACATCACAGCCACGGAACAGCACCACGTCACCTCGATGTTAAAAGCAAAGACTTTAGTTAGCCCAGAAATGTCATTCCTCAGGAAAGTTAACTGTTGTGCCCCACAGTCAGAGGAGAAGAGAAACTGAGGTACCACCAATGCCTGAGGTCCCTGAAAAGGTAGAGAAGTGATTTGGCAAGATATACTCAGATGATACCTTCCATATCCTGTGATACACTGAGCAAGGAGAAAGCAGGAAGCTGGGAGCCTCCGCTTAGCTGCGGTTCTGTGGCTGATCACAAAAAAAGATTTTTTTTAAAGGGAAAGGAAGGCGATTTTAAGGCTAAAGTTGACTAAAATATGTGGTAAAAAGGATAACTATCTGTTCTAGGAGCTCAATTTGAAGCACGCTGCAGGTTCCAACCAATGCTGGCAGCGGCAGAGGAGGAACTGAAGGGATTATAGCCCACTCATGCGCATTACGAAGCGCGCTGCAGGTTCTGACCAATGCTGGCAGCGGCAGAGGAGAAACTGAAGGGATTATAGCCCACTCATGCGCATTAGCTGTCCAGTGCGTGGAGTGTGCTGCTCATGTGCAAACTACCTGTAACTAGCACTGCTAATGAAATCTTCCAGCCAGGCACACTGCAGCACCTGAACTCCTAAACTGGAGCACCCACAGGGAGACTCCTCGAAGAAGAATGATCATTTATTCCAGTGTGCCAGGAGTAGGGGTGTGTGTGTGTAGATGCTGAGTCTCTGTCACCGTGAGCATTTGGCTAGATTCGTTTTCATGAAGAAAGTCCACAGCCACTCAGTGTCCTGAGTAAGGAGGTGGCCTACACCTTGTGCGCACCTGGACTACTTACTAGATGGGGGCAGAGAACAGGGTTTGTCACACAGTCAGTTTAGCAAAACCACAGAGTTTGATTCGTTAGGTGTTCGTTATCATTTACAGCTCAGAGATAGATTTCAAATGGGGTCTAGAGTAATACCAGACAATGAACAGAAATGCATTGCTGCCAGCCACCTGGCATAGCACATGAACAAAAGGGCTGTCTGAGAAGGGCTTGCTTACGATATTGTCCTCAGTTTACAGTTGGGATCCTTCAGTCCTTGCAACAATGAGTATGCAGTTGACATTCTTGGATCTTCGATCAGTGGGCTCCTAGAAAAAAATGCAAACTTTAAATACCATTTCCTGCAGGCAGATTTTCTATCCTCTTTCCTGAAGATGGTGGCGTAGGTTTAATCCACCCCAGACATTTGCTATAAACAAAGAGAAGTATCGAAAGATGCTGCAGTCCATTGTTCTGACACCATGATGATAATTATTAATTCCTGATTCCTGACAGCAGTGTAACCCACATAGCATTTGTTTCCCTCTAGTGGCTGAGCCATGGGTGAGCTGCTGCTTTCAGTGAAAATCCTGCTTTGCTTTTTCAGTTTGGTATGGGAGAAGGAATAGATCCCAATGAACAGAAAAGAGGGTTCTGAATCAAGCTCCTCCAAAAAGAGGATTTAAATGGGTTCAACAAGTAGCACAAGATCACACTTCTTTCACTCTTTGTTAATTCTGATTTAGGATGATCATATAGAGTGCAATTCTGAAATGGATTAGTTGAAGTGCATTAAATCTCTGTGTGGATGCTGTTATTCAGAATGAAAATGGTCTTTGAAATGAATTAAACTAAACCTAATTAAAGCCAATTTAAAGGTGAATAACTGTCCATGTGGGTATTTAATATAGTTTAAGTAACTTCAAATTTGTTACTACAGATTAACTTTCCTGGATGTCCTCATATAGACAAGCCTTTAAAAGCCGTACATAGAAGATTTAGAGAACAGCAAGCTATTATTTGGCCAGGTAGAACTTCTGTAGACAGCAACAAAATGAATAAATTGCAGCTGCCAGTACTCTTGAACGTACATAGAAGATTTAGAGACCAGCAAGCTATTATTTGGCCAGGCAGAACTTCTGTAGACAGCAATAAAATTAATAAATTGCAGCTGCCAGTACTCTTGAATTTTGTGAGTTTCCAAAAGGCATTTAATAGTGTAGACAGAGAATGATGTAGTAGAGAAAATCATTCACATTATTATAAATGTGTATCAGAATACTCTGTGCAGAGCAGTGATAAATCAAGAGCAAGCAGACTGGTTTAATGTTTATGTTGGTGTCAGGCAACGTTATAGCTCATCTTGTTTAGAGTGACTTTAAGAGCCTGTATGGAAATGGGCATTGTGTCAATGGGGAACTTGGAAATCTAGACTTTGTACTGGTATTTTTAGTAAAAGTTATGTTTTAGTAAAGTTTTCAGTAGCCCTGAAAAATAAACAAAATTCACAGCCCCTGACGGGTAAGCCCTGAAAAATAAACAAAATTCACAGCCCCTGACGCAACTGTGATTTCTACTATAAATATTCCTGTCTAAATCTTAGCTGAGTTGCAGATGCTTGGGTGACACAGGAGTCAGCCCCAGAGGCTACTGCAGAAATTACAGAGGTTGCAGAAAATCACAGAATCAGTGATTTCTGCAACCTCTGTGGCAAACATGGAGGCCCAATTATAAATCAATAAGTCAAAGATATGGCCTTGCAAATTATGTGAACAAGTAGGTCATCTTATTAACCAACTTAAGCAAATTATCAAAATTAATGTATATACCAATACTTTTATCCTATTTGAGAAATTAAGCCTTGAAAACCTTAAATCAACTTTTCTGGGCACCCTTATGATATTGGTAATTGCATTTGATATAAAGAGCAGAAGAGGTGAAGTGAGTGCCATGTTTCACACACTAGCTACAATATGGAATTCCAGTGTGATTAACAAAATCATCAAAATTAAGATGATTCCTATAAAAATAGTAAGTCCATTCAATGCAAATTGAAACAGAATTCACTACTGCTGTCTGCAAAGACTGTTCAAAATACGAGGGGGAAGAATAAGTAATGAAGAGGTCCTTGAATGGTCACAGCTATCTATGGCAATACTAGTAGAATGGTAGACAAGATGGACATAATTGATAAATCATGGGGTTTGGAAGGGATGCAAGAGTGTTATGGCAGGGGGTTTAGGTGTATGATGGACTCAAGACTGGAGTTTGGAGGGGATGCAGGAGAGTTATGACGCTGTGGCCAGATGGGGACTGGGCCCCAATTGGGGGCTTGTTGGCCAGGCTTCATTTTTAAATAAAGTAAAATATTTAAATATAGTAAAATATTAGGGAGGAACTGGTTGAGAATTTGAAAGTGGAAGGCAGCTTGGGTGAAAGTGATCATGAAATCATAGAGTTCACAATTCTAAGGAAGGATAGAAGGGAGAACAGCAAAATAGAGACAATGGATTTCAGGAAGGCGGATTTTGGTAAGCTCAGAGAGCTGATAGGTAAGGTCCCATGGGAATCGAGACTGAGGGGAAAAACAACTGAGGAGAGTTGGCAGTTTTTCAAAGAGACATTGTTAAGGGCCCAAAAGCAAGCTATTCCGATGTGTCGGAAAGATAGAAAATATGGCAAAAGACCGCCTTGGCTTAACCATGAGGTCATTTTGAATTATGACCCTATCCTCCAGATTAGTCACAACCCCTCCCAACTTGGTATCATCTGCAAACTTAATAAGCGTACTTTCTATACCAATATCTAAATCGTTGATGAAGATATTGAACAGAGCCGGTCCCAAAACAGACCCCTGCGGAACCCCACTTGTTATGCCTTTCCAGCCAGGATTGTGAACCATTAATAACTACTCTCTGAGTACGGTTATCCAGCCAGTTATGCACCCACCTTATAGTAACTTCATCTAAGTTGTATTTACCTTGTTTATTGATAAGAATATCATGTGAGACCGTATCAAATGCCTTACTAAAATCTAGGTATATGACATCCACTGCTTCTCCCTTATCCACAAGACTTGTTATCCTATTAAAGAAAGCTATCAGATTGGTTTGACATGATTTGTTCTTTACAAATCCATGCTGGCTGTTCACTATCACCTTGCCACTTTTCACGTGGAGGAGAGACCTGAAAATCCCGTCTTATGATGGGCTAATTGGCTAGTTTTAAAATAATTTCCTAGTATAGACATGCCCAGAGAGACTGATCTACATGTAAATTCTGTAGCTTAGTAGTGACTGAAGTGGCATTATTACAGCTGAATGTAAATATGGAAAACAAAAACCTGGAAAACAAACCCAGAATAGGGAGGCCAAAGATCAGGAGACCAAGCCAAGTCTGTAACTGCATCAGGCCAGAGTCTGTGTGACTCCCCAGACAACCCTTGGGCTTAAATAAGGACTTGGCCAATCAGACAGCCAAAGATTACCTCACTTAGGGTTTCATGGGCAGTAAGTACTTCCTGCAATGCCTGCTCTTAGTGTTCTCCAGCTGCTCCTCTGCATGGCCTCCTAGTGACACTGAGGGACTGTCCTCTGTCCCAGGTGTTACAGACCCAGCTTCTTATCTTTACATCTTTTCCTTTTGCTGTTCAGCTGCTCAAGGGGCTGAGCAGCTCTACCACATTTGCTCCTTTGATCAGGCTGTAGGACAGGACAGGTCACTTATATAGAGCTCTCTGAATCTCTAGGCAAACAGCTGTTTTGGCGCAAAAACCCATGGAGCATCCACACCTCAAATGCGCTTTTGCGCAAGTAAATGAACAATAAAATGGCAGATCAGAGGGCTTTTTCCGGCATAGGTAAACCGCCTTCTACAAGGCATAACTCCTTTTTGTGCTACAGCTTTGTGCAAAAAGGCAAGTATGGATGCTCCAGAGGGGTTTCTTGCATAAGAAATCCCTATGGGAAAAAGCACAGGTGCTCTGATGGCCATGCAGTGTGAACGCTCTCTTGCGCAAAAGCACATTGCTTTTGCAATGTGCTTTAAGGTGTGGACATGCTCTTTCACAAGAATATTTTTGCGTAAAAACTCTTGCACAAAAGGCTTCTTGTGCAAGAAACATGTAGTGTAGACATAGACAAGGTTCTAATCTAGCAGACAAAGGCAATACAAAATTGATGGGTACTAGTTGTAGATTTCAATATTGAAACTGGAACTAAGATACACAATCTTAATTAATTAGGTTTTGAAATAACCTTTCAAGAAATATAGGGGATCCTCCATCACATAAAATCTTTAAATTAAGTCTATGGCTACGTCTACACTTGCAGCTTTTTGCACAAGAATTCTTTTGAGGAAGAGTTGTTGTGCAAAAATTCTTCCACAAGAGAGCGTCTACACTGCCATGTGCTTTTGCGCAAGAGCATCCATGGCAGTGTAGACGCTCTCTTGCGCAAGAAAGCTCTGATAGCCATTTTAACCATAGGGGCTTCTTGTGCAAGAAATTCATGTTGCCTCTCTACACTGGCCTCTTCTGGAAGAGCTCTTGCGCAAGAGGGCTTATTCCTGAGAGGCAGCAAGAGTTCTTGCGCAAGAAGCCCTGATTTTTTACAGTACAACGTCAGTTTACTTGTGCAAGAATGAGCGGCCAGTGTAGACAGGCGGCAAGTTTTTGCGCAAGAACAGCCATTTTCGTGCAAGAATGCGCCAGTGTAGACACAGCCTAGATGTCTTCCTACAGGTTGAAACTCTCTTGTCTAGCATGCCCTAGTCCAGAAACTTTTTGTGGCCCTGCATGATTTTAGTTAGCCAGATGTCCACTTACCATGGGTGTGGCCAAGTTTTTCATAGTTCCAGGCTCATTTGGTGAAATTCTATGCCCTGTGTTATGTAGGAGGCCAAACAGGATGATTACAATAGTCTTTTCTAGTCTCAAATTTGAATGATTCTAGTCTCAAATTTGAGTGATTAGTGGGGCTGTGACAGAGAAGGGAGCTGCTGCAATGATGTTAATGAATGAAGCAAGCGTTTTATTTTTTTTGGGAGGAGGGAATGGGATGGCTTTACAACGGTGGTTAAGGAGTTCAGCCACAGCATTACCCTTGAACATGTCTTTTCCCTTTATTTCTACAGTTTGGAAAGATAGATTAAGCATCCAGCCAAAATAGGTATTATCCTTCCTGATGTATAAACATGAACTTTCTCTTCAGTCTTATAGTCTAGGAAAACAGATAAGTATGTAGCTGCTTTACTTTGCTGAGGCTTTTGCTTATCCTCACTGGCTCTGTATAAAATATTTTCAGGGTTAAATTTCTTGTAATCTCTGTATCCTGCTGATTTAGAGGGTCTGTAGTGTAGAAAAGTGTTGATTTAATTACAAATTCTGTAAATAGTAATTAGGGGAGGGTCTAATTGCATTCATTATCTGCTTATTAATATTCATTTTGTGGATGGGAAAGTAGTGATAGACATACTAAAATAGATAAAAGGGTGTAATTAGTGCCAAATTGGTGCCATTCGGATGTTGTGTTGAATATCCGAGGTAAATGTGCATGGGCACGTTCCTTTTTACCCCATCTGCTCCTGGGTCACCTGTTTCTTCTCTAACACAATGGAGCACCAGAAACTAAGAGTTTAGGTGGTGCTAAATGAGTTCAGTTCTGAGATGTGTGCACTTATAACAACAGTATGGTTTAAATGAACAACATAAAATTATGCCATTGTGTGGTAAGGATCCTTTGCTGAGCTAAAATATACCGAATGTGTCCAAGAGCCCATGATTTCAGGACCAAGCAGAGTCTCTGGTTATTTTGCCCTTTAGACCAGAGAGATCTGAGCTCTCAAACACACTTTTAAATTCAACAAAGCAAAATAAAAAGTATTTTTAAAATCTCTCTTCAACAGAAAGTTGATTTTCTTCAATTCCGAAAAGAACTTAGCTAAGCAACCTCTGTCAATTCAAAGCAACTTGCTTCCTCATCCTTCTAGTTTCCCAGGAAGCTAATGCACCCCAGCTTCTTTCTAGGTCCTTCTGCTTAACTGTTACTTCCTTATTCCTGCCTACCCAGGAATCTTGAGATTTTCTGACCTTGATCCTCCAGGCCCAGAGGGATAGCATAACCTCATCTTACTTGGAAAGACCAAGACAAACCTACAACTATCTTATACAGCTCTGGAAAGGGAGCATAATAAATGGTGACATGACAAGAACATCACTATGAGGATTTATATTAAACTGTGATACTTACAGAGGAAATAAGCGTTTTCGTAGCTTTGCTTTCCATTCTTCTTCTCGTTCTCCAATCCCAAGGGTACAATTACATAGGTAGAGTGACTGTTTACTACAACAGTTCTTTACACAGAATGAAAGAGCAATTTCATCCATTGTTGTGAGCCTAATGTGTTCCACTCTAATTTCTTGGAAACTATCCATTACACATTTTGCAAACTCTTCTTCCTGACTCTCATGCAAACAGTGAAACAACTCAAGCTGGCCATGCTGTACCTCATAGGTCTTATAGGACAGAGAGGAGATATTTTTAGCTTCTGCTTCAAACCACTTCAATAAATCGTCCTTTATTCCAGATGATGTTTTACAATGTAACTTTTCCTCTATGTCATTCAGTCTCTCTTTATTTAAAAGACCAAACAAGAAACGTACTGTTAGCATCAAATTATTTTTTGATGCTCCATAAATTTTTAGCAAACGATTCACATCTTTCTTAGACATCAATGATTTTTTTATTGTTTCTTCGTCTTCCTCTAGCACAAAATACAACGCTGCAAAAAACTCTTGGAAACTCAAGTGAATGAAGCTGTAGAAAATTTCACATTCTGTATCTGTTTGAAAAATACTTTGATTCAGAAAGAGAGTGTGAATATTAGACACGGATAAATTGTGTTTTTTCAGGTCATCTTCTTCAAACAGTATTTTCCGTTCTAAAATTCCATCTGCAGCCAATGAGCAAAGCTCCCACAGGTTAACTTTAAATGATTGCACACATGTTGCATTAGTGAAGTGATCACCTAGCAAACGGGTCAAAAAGAGTAAATATACTGATGTGGTTGTTTTTGAAGTTTGTGTGAGATCTTCCCCTTTTACCATCTGTTGCTTTATAACTGTGCAAATGATCCAACATACAATGGGAACAAAACACACAGTAAAGAGTACTTCATTTTCTTTGACAAAATTAAAGGCTTGTGTTGCTTTCTTTTCATCACAGAAGTATTTCTGAAAATATTCTTTCCTCTGATCTGCAGAAAATCCCATGATCTCTGCATAACGTGGAAATTTCAAAATCTGGTGTAATTTCTCCAGAGAAGTTAGTCTTGTGGTGATTAGCAAGAAGGATTTTTTAAGAACTTTCTTTCTCAATAAACTGCACTTGGAAGCTCCAGTTTCTGCTGTAGTTTCTCCAGGGCAGTTGGTCTCGTCGTGATCAGTAAGAAGGATTTTTGAAGAACTTTCTTTCTCAATAAACTGCACAGGATGATTTCCATTGGCCTCTTCTCAAATGGGTCAGTGCACAGGCTAATGTCATCAATATCTAGCAAGGAATTTAATTCATCAAAACCATCTATTATAAACAGGAGTTTTTCTGGCTTCTCAAAGATTTCTTTAATTGGTCCTCCTCCATCAGGACAATTGTTCAAAACCAAATCGGCAGCACTTCGATTTTTGGCACCACTTTGATTTTTAATAATATGTTTTATTTCTCTGCAATTTATATAAAAAACATAATCAAACTTTTTCCGATAGAGTTTTCCAGCTGCCCAGTCCCACATGATCTTTCTCGCTGTCATTGTTTTCCCAATCCCAGCAACTCCCTGCAGCACAACAGTTCTTGTGCTTTGTCGATTTCCATCAGGATCAAATAAAAGACTAATCTGAGTGAGACTGGTTTGTTGAGCCATCAGTTCTGCGTGTCTCCTTCCTCTGGTGATGATTTCATGTTCTTTTTCCTCCCGCCCCCGACGTTCCTTTACAATAAGCAGTTCTGTGTATCTTTTGTCTAAACAGACATGTTCACCCAGGTGAACATTCCTATCTTCTACTACTTGGTATTCATCTTGTACATGTTCTCTATATTTCTTCTGGTAATCTAATTCAATGACAATGGTGTGAAGCATTAGACAGCCTGAGTACAGTTGTTACAACAAAGGTCATGTGAACTGCCATTCATTGGTTATATCCAGAAGTTGAACCAGAGAAAATGCAACCTACTCTTTCTATTCTGTACCACCTCCTTCCCTTTTCACCCAGCATTGCCACCATCATGCAACTTGACATTTTGCTAGAATTTTACATGTTAAAAAAAGTATCTTGATTTTTACAGTTTAATTATTTTCTCCATGATCATCTCTCTCCTTGTTTCTGATTCGGCAGTGCACTTAAGCACAGATTTAAGTCCTATTACAATAAGTGAGATTTGAGCATGTGCTTAAAGTTAAGAATTGCTTAAATGCTTTTCTAAATAAGGATAATTTCCATCTTTTCTTTCAGTTTACATCTTATTTTTCTGTTCTTCTCCCTTTCCCCGCAGTACCTTTTGTCTTCCTTTTTATTATTTTTAACTACTTCTCTTCTTGCTTCCTGGTTATGTTTTTCTCTCCTTTCTCATTCATCAGCTCTTTTAACCCTTTTCTGTTTTTCTCATCTCTGGATACTCTTCTCTGTTTCTTCCCCCTGCCTCTTCAAACACTGGAGGATAGAACTGGACACCAGGATTTAGTCAGGGCCCATCTCTAATCCTGAGCAGAGCAGTATGGGAAGTGGAGTGCTACTGTTTCAGTGGACAGCCCCCTTGCTTATGAAGGATTTGTCTCCTGAGTGGGCCAAGATCCCTATGTTGACTACACCTCCCATGATGCACCACAGTATTCTCTGTTGCTGAGCCTCATGGTGCAATGTGGGAGAGGTAGTCCAAAAAGGAGGCTTGGTCCATACAAAAGGGGTCCTGAGGCACATGAACAGTTGCTCCCATACAGTACTCCAGCAGCATTTCAGAATGCTGTTAGGAATTTTAAAACGTCTTTTAAAATGTTTTAAACAATCGCCACCATTAAACCAGTCTGCAGGCCACGTGCACAGGGACAAACCATATGAGCACGTTTTAAACAAACAAAAAAGTGTTTTAGCCTGAGTGGAAGCTCACAGACCAAGCAAAAGGCATTAAATGATTCAGCAGTATTCACATGTAAAGCATTTCTACAAATAGTCATCACACAATTCCTAATACAGGGTAAATTGACCCAATAAATGTGCAGAAATGGCTTCTTCATAGGAAGCAGCTCTGCAATGTGTCCATGTGACATTCATCCCTCTAAAAGATTTTGGTCATAACCATTTAGTATATTTGTTCTTTCTTTGTCGGTCAATAGTGCAGTCCTTGAATTGTATTTATTGTTGTTCTCTGAGCTCTCCTCATCTAAGATGCTTCTTTCTAGCATAACTGGGCTAAAAAACAGATGCAGTATGCTAAGAACAGTCTTACCAGAGCCTTTCAGAGAGGGATTATTAAATCCCTGCTCCTTGGCATGATGTGTCTCTGCACATGGTTCCTGATCCCATTGTCGGTCGGTCCCTCTTCCTTCTTCAATCTTTGCTGTTTTCTTCTTCGCCTTTGAAAAAACTATCAAGGGAGATCAACTGTGAGAATACTACAGACCATGTAGTCTGACATCCCACACGTAATAGGGCACCAATACCTCCCTAACACCTGCACATGAAATCCAAAAACTAAAATGAGCCCAGAGTATTACAGCCCACAGGAGAAGAGACTATTATGTGCTACAGTGGGGACCAAGGTGCCCCAGTATCTAAGACACCAGCAATGGCAGGGAAATGAGAGCTATCCAGATAATCCTGGCAAGCCACCAACCCCACTCACTGCAGAGTGTTGTATCATGCAAGCAAGGTACTAACAAACTTCAACAGGCCTTTATTTAACAAAGGTGAAACCTCTTTGCAAAGCTGCAGCTGCACCCCTCTGTAGCTCTCACTCAGCCCTGGCTCATCTCCACCCCCCCCCTCCTTCCTGTTCCTGGTGCTTCCAGACTCCCAACAGCCGGAGCTCCCAGTTCTAATAATCACAAGCAGCATCTAAAACACCACACAGAGGGAGATGGAAAAACCCCAGAGTCTCTGCCAGTCTGGCCTGCCATTTTACATGCACATGTTAGAAAATCCTACCCTGGCTAGAATAAACAAATAAAAAACACGAAAGTCAAAAAGTTATGACTGAAAACCAACGTTTCAATTAAAAATGCCATTCCTGTCATCAGCCTGTTTCTCATTCTACTGTTGCTGCTGCCCCAGGGCACATTCCTGGATTTTACGGTAACTTTGGGTTTCTTACCTTTCTCACTTTCTGCTCTGAGTTTTGTAGCAGACTCTCGGAGGTTGATCTGAGTGAGAACATTGATGGTCACCTCTACGGCAGCAGCTCCACCATAGAATTCCATCAGGAGGTTCTTAGTGTCTGTTCTGTCAGCTTTCTCCAGCTGACCTCGGGGGATGGCACTCTTCCCCTCAAAGGCAGAATGTGAGAGTTTCTCTCTAAATCTTCTGAAAACTTCCTGAGGAAGGTCGTCAAGGGCAGTTTGAAGCAAGCCACGGATTCTGCTTTGGTTTTCCATCATCAGATATCAGAAAGCAAAACTAAAATGCAAAGTCCCACCATTCATAGTTAATATGTGCGAGAAACCCAGGGCAGCTGGCTACTAGTATGGTAGAGGGCAGACATACTGTAAACTGGGTGAATGGTTTTCCAAATAGTCTGAATAAACTGCCAGAGACTGCTGCCACATAATCAAGGCAGGCAGGATCTGAGTCTAATTAAGAGATTGCCTGAAGTAGCAGGTTAATCAGATACCTGCAGCCAATTAAGGTCTGCTGGACTACTTTAAAAGGTTTCCCCTCAGCTAAGGAGGGTGGGGGAGGAGAAGAGTGAAGGATTGAGAGGAGGAAGGAAGTTTGTGTTTGGAGAGAGGA